TCACCCCAATATGTTTCTCATTTCTTTCCTATCACCCTAGTATGTATCTCATTTTTTCCCTATGATTTCGACATTTTTGGCTATATTCCACCTTGCTTGCTTTTCCTCTAGGTTTGTGTTTCACCCCTGTTTTTTGTTTCCATCTGACGTCCATCTCTCTTTCAATAATCATGATGTATGTATCAATTTTTTTCTACAACATTCACCCCCCCGGCACCACTCTATATCCAGTTTAAATACTGGGGTATATTGACAGAGTTGTTGTTTTAGTATTTTGTCATTTTTGTGAATTGCCTTGTTGTTCTGTTTTCTTTGATGCTTTTATTTTCAACAAATACATTTTAGTTATTTTGTAACTTAATATAAAACCATGCATGAATTTGGCCCTAATTTTTTTAACTTCATATACGAATGCTAGACCGTGTCTAGAACAGAACATGTGGGAGTCTTCCTAGTGGGTATATATTTGTGTTGTAATTGTCATTGTATGTGGGTGTAAATGCATGTTTGCAATGTATCCAAGAACAGATGATTATTAAGTCAATCTAGAGGCCAATTTGGAACTTTTAAAAAAATGAAAAAGAAGAAGGCAAATTATTTTGAATGTGTTAAAATTGTAAGTAATTAGGTATTACTGTAATTTGCATTATATGATAATAGTGAAAATTGTAATATTAAAATTTGACAAATACTAGCAGTATATATAGCTCTCAAAGTATATAGCTTGTAAATGGAATCATAATTCATTGTAACTAATCATATACTAGGGTGTGTTATAATGTACGCCTACAATATGCTGTCTGTATGTTTTTACAGTTATAATTACTGTTGATGTAAAATATAAAACATTTTAGTGGAGAAATATACATATACCCTATTTTGTACACATTACAGGAGCTAACTTTAAAGGTTAGAGTTAATTAATTTTGGAGGGAGTTTTTATTTTTATCATTTAGAATTATTAAGGCGTAGGATCCTCTGTCATCTCTAGATTATACATTTAAAACCCTCAAAAAAATTGTTGGGCCCTGTTTGTAACCCAATCTGTCATACTCAATAATAACCATGACTTCTAGACTCAGTAACATTTCTACCGTGAATGTATCTGATTGCCTCTGGAATTAATAAAAAATATAAAAACACTGATGTGGGTACCTTGAACTTGTTTAGGACCTGTGAATATTTTTATTTAAAAAAATTTACATATATATATATATATATATATATATATATATATACAGGATAAATAATTGGGCTTGACATATTTCAGTCTATTTACTTATAATAATCTTTGTACAACATGAAGAATATATGTGGCACTTTTTTTAATTATAGTGACTAATACTAAAAGGTTATTATGTAACCAGGAGCTATGGACATGTATTCATGAACTGGGTTCTGTCTTACTTTTAACTTTGTATATTTGTTTATGTAATGTTCATACCTGTATATGTGCTTTTTATTATTGTTTTAACTGAATCATTTATAGTGTGTGTGAAATGTATGCGTATAAGTTCTAATTTTTATTAAACCACTATTTTCTCTACATGTCCTTACATGCTTTCAATTTTAATATTGATGCATAGCCACCAACATAGAGATGGTAAGAGTGGTACCATATTAGCTATAGAAATACAGAAGACAAATAAAGAAAAATTTAAATTTAGCCTAGAAATCATTAAGACAAACAAAATGAAAGCTAATGTTAACGACAAAAATTAAGGAATAACTTAATAGTATAGTGAGACCTTAATTGGTGGACTAAATAGATTTAGAGTACAGGCTTTCTAGAAATCTTGAACTATAAATCAACTTACAGAGCCAATAAAAGTATCACTTCGATTCTGTCATCTAATTGTATCTAAGATATAGCTAATACAAGTGGCAAACTGGTGCACATTCTATTTACAGTGTCATGCGTTACATTTGTGTGAAAAAGATTTGTCAGATAAATATTGTTACCACTAACTTGCTATTGCATTGTCTTTACTGCTATATAACTCGTAAGCGCTTTGTATATGTGACAATATGAAAATTTTTATTCACGTTTAACATGTGTGCAAATCTGTAAGGGTTATTCACTAAACCGTAAACTAGGAAGAGCTGATCAGAGAATTGCAAATTTTAGATGTTAAACAATGAACTGGAAAATGATTTAATTGTGCCTTTTTTAGTTTCCAACATGTCTGTCCACAAATTTGCAATTCTCTATTGAATTCTTTTAAACTCCCACTATGGCGAATAACCAATTTGTGTTATAACTATTAATTTGGAAGACATGTAACTGTTTGGAAGAGTAAACTACATTAATTTTAGACATGTAACCGTGTATATAGTGAATGTATACCTGTACAAAATATTAAAATCCATATAGCCAGCGGAAAAGTGTTGTATAACTATTAAAAGTTATCTATATTCACGAGTAAAATAATCTAAGTTTAAAATGTTTTTAATTAATCTGTTCTGGCCTATATTTTGCCATTTCCTTGTCGGTTTACCCACAACTGACAGTTTTTGTCTCTATACCCTATGGTGTATTGTCTATAAAGATTTTTTTTGTAGGCATTTGCAACTTTATTTAAATGACACACTGACATGCTTTATTTAAATGACACTCTGTACACCTTTCTGGACAGCATGGTCACTATAGAAGACTTCCACAGCGAGTAGTTGCAATCTGCGTGAGTGTAAAATGTTAGGAGAAGCACCCTGTACCCAGAATACCTCTACAGGGACAGTAACTAAAGTGTTTGAAAATCAAAGTGAATGTATAATTTAATGCGAAAATAGACAAATTGGGTGAAATTATTCAACTTAGCTATGTTTCCAGTTTGGCTACGTTGGCCTTAAATTTGAAATTTATTTCGAATTCACAACGGATTCCCGGCATTTCTTGTTTTTGTGAATAACCCTGTATGTGAGCATTATCGCTGTAGCCTGTAGTAGTTTTTGAAAGCATTTCAAGAGTTTAAAAGTCATCTTCATTTATTCAAGATCAAGAAATTTTAGAACTATATTAAAATGATTAATTCTTTAACTTAACCCTTGATGTGATCATTGCGGATGTGTTTTTTTAATTAAGTTGTATTCTAGTATCATTTATAAAAAAAAATGCTGCGTGTAATACAGTAAAAAAATAAATCAATAAACTAAATTCATGGCCAAAATTACACATGTATATGGCGTGGAAAGAGACAGCTATTTAATTTATATCTGAGTCTTCCTGTAATTATATATTGTTATAAATGTCTGTAATGTGTCATTGTAGTGCAATAATTGGAATGAAAAACTCAATGGTAGGTATTACTCTTTAGGAATACTAAAATGTATCTTTATCTACAACCAGGACATCCTACCACTAACATTTAAACAGATCTGGAGAGCAGATAAATGCCAGTTGGCCCATTTAGACATACCCTATCATATTTAAAGGGATTTATTCTTAATCTACGTCATGAACAGGGCAGCAGTATCTCTAACCCAACTCTCCTTAATTCTTCCATCAGATTAGTGCCTACCACTTCTGCTGGTAAGCAAGTCACAATGACATATTCATTATACAAGCATTAAAGGTATCACTCAACATGAAGATTTCATTATTACTATTTTTGCATGCATCGTAGGTAGGCCATTGTGTAATGGTAGGAGAGAGTGAAAATAAACATTAGAGATACCATGCAGGCTTAACATGATTAAATTATGTACAATGTACAGCGCTGCAGAATGTTGGTGCTACAAAGTAAAATTAATATTTGTGGTTTATTGAGTTTCTAACGTATTAAAGTGTGCGGAACAATCATTTCTACACTGTGGGGTTTCTTATTTTTGGTAAACAGCAAATTATGGCAACATTTAAAAAAATTATATATATATATATATATATATATATATATAAAGATTGATTAATTGGTATTTCTTGTCACTATTCAATCTTACCACACATATTAATATATATTATAATATATTCATAGACACAATGAGACAGTTAACTTCTGCTTCTGGCTATGGGATTGTTTCAAAATACTATGTAGACTATTACATAAATATTGCATTAAAAAAAACTTATGACAATAAATGTTTAGAATTTAGCCACTTACCTGGGGTTTCTATAGCACATTACTGTAATATGTATATATATCTCCAGAAAAATATTCTAGTGCAAGAAATCTAGTTTATGTTTCATTATAGGCAAGATGCTATGTTATTGTCATGAGCTATGTATCTAGTTACTAGTAATAGATGTGAATTAAACTATTTACATGTGTAATCTACCATGTGGGTGAAGTAAATTAAGCCTGTGTGATATGTTTTCTGTGTACCTGACTGTGCAGTATAAAATAAACTCTGTATGTGTGTATTGTAGGAGCATTATATTTAATGTGATATATTTCAGAACACACTTTTTTGTCTGTTCTCTAGAGATGCAAGCTGCCTTGAAGCCCCCTCTACCTTATACTCCATAGGAAACAAGTTGCATTTAATTACTAATACAAAGTAACAAAAATATAGTTATCCCAGTAAAAATCACAGAGGATGAGGATAAGAGAACTTCTTTCCTACAGGATATTAAAACCATAGGGCAGCTGGCTCCACACCAGAGATAGTTCTATTCCTTTCTTTATCTGCCATTTAGCTGGTTCATGATACATCCAACAAAATGACACCAAGTGACATGGAGAGAGATTGACCCTGCCTGCTACTTGCTGGGATCCTGAGACACTTTGTACCTTTACCACAAATAACCTGACAGATCCCAAGCCTGAACATCCAACGGTCTGATCTGCCTGGTACTTTTTAACAATTATTAATCTGCTCCTAGCCCAGCATAAAAAACTACATCCCAACCTGCAGGACCTAAGCACCAGAAATGTGTTCTAATTGTCAGTGTTCTACAAGCCCCCCTCCCCTCCCCAGGCTGACAGACACATTTACTGCACAGATGACACTCTCAGCCTTTCACAATTAAATAACCTCTCAGAAGAAAATGTACATTCATTTATTTCGTGTCCAACAGACCCCACATGTCCTGCTCTATTAAAATCCCACACAGCCCATCTTCTGGTGACTCCCCCCTCCAAATCACACAGATCACATTTGACAAAATGAGTCTCAAGAGGGTTTTGAAAGAGATTAACAAGGACCTACCACAACCCCTTCATGTTACCTTCTGGAATGACCCAAAATCTCCCAGACTGGCCGCATGGGATTATTTATTAGTGACATTATTAAGTTTCACAAGACTGGATTTTTTTTTTAGGATTTTTTTTTCTCTTTTCGAATTTCATAAATTAGAAGAAATATGAGACATGAAATAAATTAATCACAACATAATCTGAAGCGCTGAAGAAGCAAACAAGGACATCTTTAGATTGTCTGTCCATAATTGGGACTTTCTGTCCCCCCACCCCAAATTCTAATGACCCAGAGAAGAGCTGAGGAATAGTTTTGGTTTTCTCCCATAACATCTGGAGGTCACTTACTGTCTATGGGTTTTTTTTTTTGTCCCAGGCAAGATGACACCACCCAGTGTCTGCCACCAAGTTCCCTCTGTCCCCACAGACCTCTTCCCATAATAAATAGTTTAGGGGTTCCCTGTGGTTTTCTGTCCCTTTTTTTGTTTCAGAAAGTCTAGAGTAAAATCGGTGGCCTCAGCCTCCTGTCTATGGCTAATGGTTAGTGTGTCCCTTGGCTCAGATTCCAAGTCCATAATTTCCAGGATCTCAGGGTCTAGCCTGCTCCAGCTGCTGGTGTTGGCTTCTGATGGCGAACCTACTGACGTGGACTGGGATGGGAACCACGATTTTGGGGTTCCTTGAGGGTTCCCCGGTTTTGGAGTTAGCATTGCCAGCCTTGACCCTCTTCCACTTGGCTCTGCGGTTCTGGAACCAGATCTTGACCTGGACCTCGCTGAGTTTGAGGGCATGGGCGATCTGAGAGCGCTCTGTGAGGGACAGGTACTTCTTGCAGTGGAACTCCTTCTCCAACTCCAGGAGCTGCTCGCTGGTGAATGCGGTTCTCCGCCGCCGGTTCTTGCCGCTGGAGGAAGTGTTGGTGGTGGGGTTGGGGTTCTGTGGACCTTCCTCCGGGGTGTCCTCCTCCTTGTGAGCCGTCTGGCACGAGATGTTGTCATCGGAGCTGTAGTCCAAGTCACTGTCCATGAGATAGGAGTCTTCCTTCCCCTTCACCTCATCATCCTTCCCAGGAGACTCCTTACCCTGACCCCGGACTGGACCTTAAGGACAACAAGAAGGAGAACATGGTTAGAAGAACATCTCTAGAGAGATAGTACCCAGAGCTGATTCTAGAGATAGACAGACAGACATAGATATCCTTGTCTTGATAATAACTATAGGACTATATATAGACTTGGTATATATATATATATATATATATATATTAGATTTAAAAAAAATATATATATATATATATATATAAAATCTAGAGTGAGACAATACATATAGAGCCATATAAGAGCTGCATCTAGACCCAGATTAAGATAGATAGATAGATAGATAGAGCGAGATACAGAGAATAATGCCTTTCTGACTTCATCAGATATGGGACATATTTATATATACACTTAAAATAGAGACAGCATGTGTTACCATGTAACGATGTGCATGCAGAGAGTGCACAAATAATTATACATACAGTGACCAAACGATTATTAAAAAGAAATAATTAATTGCATACATTGGAAATATCTATCTATCTATCTCTATTTCTCAAACATACATATATTGTCTAACACAAGTGATTAAGAATATAAATATAGGAAACAGTCATTCCTAAGGTACAGAATTCAGAACAAAAATATTCAATTAATAAAATACGTTACGATAAATACAATAAAGATGATAATATATATAGATATACTGACATGGATGTATGCGTGCACACATATCAATATACACACTAAAGCAGCATATACTAGAACGTGTATACACATTTATAGACAGAGTATATATTTACAAGAATATACCTATGTAGATAGATATGTGTTATGATATAATGCTATCAGATATATATAATATAATATCGTATAATATTGTATATAATATAAAATAAATCTCCATATTATATGTATATATGTTGTGTATATCCGCTGTGCACATACACAGATACGCCATTCTGTTATTTAATGCCAGATCTATTTACTAATAACTTGTCAGATTCGGGGCTGCTGCCACTCAAGCCGGTTTTACTACAAAATAAAGTGGATTAATCTATCTTGTATGGAAAAAAAAGTAAATTATTTGATGCTCCTGATAATCTAAATATAAAACGTTAAATTTTTTTTTCATTGATTATTTATTAAACATATAAACATAGCACTCTGTGTAGTTTCTGTCTCCTTACACATTATCCCGGGGACATTAAATTCGACATAAAAACAAAATCTATCACTCAAAAAGCACATGAAAATCAAATCGAATCTGAGCTTATGCATTGTTTTCTTGTGCGATGGCAAATAAAACGGTTAGAACTTTGTTTTCGAATCCTGTAAACGAATAGAATTTTGGAATTTTCCTCTCCTAATGTCATAGAATTTTTCCAGAAATCACTTTTTTTTTTTTTTTTTTAGTAAAACCATCCATTAGTACATTATATTTTAAGGATTTTTTTTTAAAACAAAAAACTTGCGTTTAGCTAATAAAGCGGGTTGTTGTCTTTGAAGCGCTTTAAGTTTTAAAGTCGAAATATTTCAGACTTTGGGAACCAACCCAACCCACCTGACAATGAAAAATATAATTTTTAAAATTATTTTTATCCATTCACACAGCCTTGTTTTATGAGCTAGTTGTGGTTATTGTATATGAAGCATGGGGTAACTTTATTTTTGGTTTGATTATTCTAAGGATTCAACGAGTTTAGAACGCAGTTTTGAGAATCTTCAGTTTCGTTAAATCTTCAGTATCGTTTAAATATCTCTAATATCTATGTGTTTTCTCTATTCACTATATTATGCTAATTTTCTGCTAAATACACAGTTTTATCAGTTTTATAAAAACATACAGTTTTAGTTCAGACAGTTATTTGGTGAAACAGAAAAGGTTAAGGGTTTATGCATAAGGTTTGCATTATTCTGTTTGTTTTTTGTTTTATCATATACATTTAATAATGCTATGTTACAATGTATTTGTCAGAGATTGTACGTTTCGACACTTACCTAAAGATGATTCTGTAGAAGCAAAAGGCAGTAAGGTCCCCTCTTTGGTCACATAAGTCTTGGCACTGTCCTCTCCATCTGATTGCCCACTGTCTCCTTTCTCGAATCCACCCTGGAGGCTCTGAGCTCCAAACTTTCTGGCTGCTTCCTGGTGCTGAGGTGAAGCTGAGAATCCACCTGGAAGGGTGGCCATGAGGGTGGAGGTGAGTGCCATGCCCTGTGCCAGGCTGGAGCAGAATCCACTGGGCAGGCTTGGCATCTGGTGATGGGGGTGAGAGGACTGCAAGGTGGCCTGGGACAGGGAAGGAGGAGGAGGTGGTGGAGGAGGTAACACCACTGGTCTGTAGGGCATAAACATGGGGTATCCTGTATACACAAAGTGCCCAGGGCTGGGCTGAGGTGGGCTTCCTATTAGAGAGTCTATGCTGAAGGCTGTGCTGCTGCCCAGTGGACGCTGCATCATCATGAGAGGAGGCTGGAAGGCAGCACTCATATAAGCTTCTGGGAGTTAAAGGGAGACTACAGAAAAAGGGTTTTAGTTAAACACCCAGATGGGTCTTCAGCAGACAGGAAATACCCTGACTGTCACAGAGTCCATTGGAGTAGGCTGGATGTAACTGGCAGCAGGAAGAGGGTGTTGTAACAATGTAACAAGCGCTTTCTTACTGTAGCTGTTCAGACTGGTATAAGTCCTGGTAGATCAGTTTGGGCTGGAGGTCCCTCTTCCTTGGCCTGTCTTGACTTTGGCTAGTTGAGTTGAAGATGTTCATGGGTTGTCTTCTCTCTGGTCCAGGCTCTGAAGTCCAAATTTAATACCAAGTGAGGGAACCTCTCTTCATGTGCACTTGGTTTCTTTCTGTTTGGAGTTCCTGCTCTCTTACTTTGGGTGACCTAGCTGTATACTCCCTGTTGGTGTGGTGGCCTCTCCTTTCTATTTCTTTTTCCTGAGAGTCCCCGTTTCCTGGGTGAATGTGTAGCCCTCTCTCTGTGTGTGTGTGTCTGTATAATACTGAGGTCTATTCTTTCCTATTGCTTGTGCTATCTGATTGGTGTTCTGTGCCCCTGGTTGGTCTCAATTTGTGCTCTTATATACCCTGTCTCTGTATTGTACTGTTCCCTCTCTTTATAGTGATATTAACTCTCTGTGCTTTACTCTTATCTCTGTGTAGTGATATTAACTCTCTGTGTTTTACTCTTATGATAGTGTTCTCGATTGCCTGTGTATATCAGTGCAGTGGGTACCCGCTGTGTACGGTGCGGACAGGTTCCTGGTTTGCCCTGGCTGTGCAGTCTGTGTACGCTGTGTACGGTGCGGACAGGTTCCTGGTTTGCCCTGGCTGTGCAGTCTGTGTACGCTGTGTACGGTGCGGACAGGTTCCTGGTTTGCCCTGGCTGTGCAGTCTGTGTACGCTGTGTACGGTGCGGACAGGTTCCTGGTTTGCCCTGGCTGTGCAGTCTGTGTACGCTGTGTACGGTGCGGACAGGTTCCTGGTTTGCCCTGGCTGTGCAGTCTGTGTACGCTGTGTACGGTGCGGACAGGTTCCTGGTTTGCCCTGGCTGTGTATATGGTGCAGTCTCCTCTCTCTCGGCTCTCAGCAGCTACAAACGTTGCCCTTATTTCCCATTCACATTTTGCCAGACTTTAGAACCTTCCCTCGGTCACATGACCTCACCCCGTGTTTTCATTGGTGGCTGGGTGGGTGGAGGCGTGTCCTGGAGATGTAGCCCAGCTCACGCCCCTGTGAGAGTGTCAGAGTAAAGTGAGTGTCTGGGAGCAGGAGAGCACTCTGACACATTGAGTGACATACACTGCCTGGCTATCTATCTATCTATCACTGCCTATATCACTGCACATAGACAGGGCACACTCTAATCACCATACAAACTTCTAATACACAGTATGTCCCTCACCTGAACATGGAGCCCTTATAGAGAAACTCCATCCGGAATTAAACGTATCCATACAGATTGTATAGACTGCAATACATAATGAGCTGCACTGCATGTCATACCTGTCACAATAAATATATTAGACAAAATGTAGCCAATAAAACAATAAACAAAATATATGGGAAGACTAGAGTATTTATATGCATATACTTAAGATTATATATGAATTAAAAATATCAATATTATATATATTTATATTTTTATTTATTTTATATAAATATATAACATATATATATATATATATATATATATATATATATATATAATATTATATTATATTTAAACTACCGTTCAACAATTTAAATCTCGAAAGTGTTTGGGAGTGTGTATGTGTCTATTTCTAAAATGTTTGTTTTCCCTGTTTGTGTATATTAAAAGCGTTGATTGCCTATTTAATTAATATAGTGTGTGCAGTTAATATAACATTTTTTTTTTTTGCATGCATTTTTCATTATTATTTTTATATATTAAGAAATTATTAAGGATTGGATAAAGAAGCAAGAGCAAGTTTAATTTATGGATTTTTGTACCTGACTTTTGTGTAATGTGAATTATTTAAATGTATATTTTGTATTGTTTTGTGAATTGTAACGATTCACTTTATATTCATTTTATATTTATATTACACACATACACTATATATACATACATACAGATGGTGCATAGATACAATGTGTTTTCTTAATTGATCTTATTGTGTTTTTTAAATTGTATGCATTGTGTGTTGTTTACTGTGTTTGTGTTTACAGTTTGAGAATGAATTTCTCACACATTGTATTTACATAAAGTATGATCACTATGTACATTATTTTATTTCTATCATTGCTATTATTATTATTTATATTATTATTTATACAAGGAGTATACGATGTGATGTGCTTACATTGTGCTTTGCCAATAAATATTTTTCTGTTTTTTTCCGTGGATGTGATCAGACTCCTTTACCCATACACTTCATTCAAACAGAAACACATAAAATAGATGTATAAAAATGCATTTTATTTATAATTTTTTCCCTCAAGCATCTCAATATTTTGGGATTTTACAGTTAGGAATTTAAAGTATTTAACAGCAAACGATTTAAATCGGTTCTTATTCCATAGGCTGACCTGTGTGTGCATACATAGCATGGGATGTGGTTTAATAAATTTAATATTTTGTGCAAAACCCTTACACTCCAGCCAGTATATGCCCCCTTTATAGGCAGAGTGTGATCTCAAGGTGATTTCATGGGAGCAACTGCCTGCAGGTTCATACATGTGCAGCACAATTAATGAAAGAATAACAGGTGAATCATCACTACTTATAAATCGATATATGTGAGCTCCATGAATCGGTTTTTATGTAGTAATAATTTCCAGTTTATTTATCTGTGTATTTTGTATTTTTCTAACTTTCTTCGTCAGAGCACTTAAACCGTTTTGGAGGACAGAACGATGTTAGCACAATGTATGCAAACCATATACACGGTTCCAGACACAAATGAGCTATTTTGTGATTCCTTCATGTTATTGACACACTGCTTTGTTTTATAAGTTTTAAGGCGATTTTGGCAAAAAGATATAACATAAATAGCATTGATTGTAATATGGACACATGTAGTGATCATTTATCATCAAGTGAGCTAAATAGAATTTTAGAGAATTTTATTTACATTCGTGGATCACATTCTTCGAACTCTGTCACGTGTAGTGTTATTCTGTGTGTGTGTGTGTGTGTGTATATTTATATATACTGCATATATGTGTGTTTTTATATATATAAAAATAGATATAAAGACAGATTGGTAGAGAGACAGGTCGATAGACAATTACAATACATTGATAAGACAGGTGTCAGTAAACAGATTTTTGTAAATAGGACAAAACTTACTCTTCTTAGAACCCTCTTATCCATTATACACAATACAGTTCATGTGTAGTTTATTTGTGTATTTAATATTTTAATACAATTTTTTTAAATTGTTTTTTTGTATGTGTGTGTGTGTTTGTATCAGTAATAGCTAGGACAAAACAGAACAAATCCGTATACTAAAAAGAGGATCTGACAGATGCATTGTATACATTGTGTGGATACAAGACAGTACATAGCACTGTCCATAGTGGTGAGAAGGTCCTGAAAATGGGGTGGATCTCTGGGGAGCTGGATTAATTGTGTACCACTGACAGCTCATGTACACACACAGTACTGGCCATTAGGAGCTATGGCACAATAGGTCAATTTCTTCCAGTGAGTAGCTAATCTCACTCCAAGTTCTCCCAAAACTGATCTAAAACATTGCCACTTCAGGCTTTCTATAGTAAATATGCATATGTCTTATTGCATGGATGGGGTGGAACCAGAGGCATAGTTGACTCCCTCTTTAGATAATGCAGTTCAGTCCCATCTCATTAGAAGCTGCCCCTCCCTATCCCACATGCCCAGCATAGACCCCAGTAATCAGCTCAGGCACTCACTGCTTTTGTCCACACTCAGTTTAGGGAGGTGCTGGGCTCTGAGTCCCCTCCTTCCCCTATTTATTTATAGTCACTAATTCAATTTGTTCGCTCAATCTTGCAAGTGACAATCATTGGGGAAGTGTCCAGAGCTGGGGAGGGGGTGAAGCACCCCTCTCTCCATCTTCCCCACACAGGCTAACAACAAAAGAGGGTTTGTATATCCTCTCCCCCCCATCTGGACACAGCAATAAGCAAGTTTGCAAACATTAAAGCTCCATCTTTTTGGCCCAGTTTATTCATCCCCTATTATACAAGGCTGAAAGCGCCAATAGACTCCTGGAGGTGAGGGGGGGTCCTGGTGATTGTGGCTTTGAAACTCTCTCCTGCAATTATGTAAAGTGACTATTGACTCTCCAGCAGGAATCAAAAGCCCCCAGCCCTGTCCCTTTCACAGACTGCTTCTCATGTTTGGCTTTTCAAAGCTCCCCCAACACAGATTCTTTTTGCTGGACAAAGGGCAGGACAATGCAGTGCCCAAACTTGTAAATTGGATGTCAAAGGACTAGGAACAATTTGAAGACCTATAAATAATGTCTTGTCTAGAACTAAGAACTGGGATAGATCATATACCTGAAAATAACTTTCTGCAGGATTAGGGACATACTGATGTACCCAAACACTGAGACACACACAGGGGCTCCGATGGGACTCACAGGGTACACACAGTAGCCATTAGGGAGGGGGGGATCAGAGTTACAGTTTTATTCACTAAATTGGTCATTATGGAGAATTAACATGGACATTACAAAATGTCAGCCAAAAATTGCCAGAAAACCCCCCCCCCTCCCAAATAAGCACATTTTGCAGTGCAAATTGAATTTGAAATTCCATTGACAGTCCTCAATTAATAGTTTAGTGAATAAACCCTTTAATGGTTTAATTAAAGGAACACTATAACGTTAGTAATACAAACATGTATCACTAGTTTAGATTAGAGGGCCCCTCTTAAAACAAGTTTTTACTTAATTTTACTTAGTAATGACACTCACTCGGTGCTGACACCCGCACCTCCTACCACAATATCATTCGGCAGGTGTCACTTCATTGCCTTCTCATCATAAAGAAACATTGGGCTAAGATGTGCATGCGCAACAGACATGTTCAGTCAAATGCTTCTCATAAGGAAGCATTGAGTCCAGGGCATCACTCTGACCAATATTTGATGGCATTCAATACCTTGTGCAATGCCTGATGGCTTCAAACTAGGTTACGACGGAGCATGGAAGCACCTCTGGGGGCTGTCAGGAAGACAGCCACTTAATGTGTGTTTAGCTCTCCAATTAAATATTGCTGTATCTACTAAACTGCAATGTTTTAGAGCTAAAAGCCCAGGAGAAATGCATACAGACCACTTCATTGAGATGAAGTGGTCTTGGTGCATTTAGTGTCCCTTTAATAAGCAGTAAATCATGGGCAATATAAGGGAATATTGGGGGAAATCAAAATGTAACCAATATTTCCAGCTAGATTACTCAGACAAAACAATTACTAGTTGTAAATAAACCCACCAAGAATATTTAGAAACTAGCAGGGAATTTAGATAAATGAAAACCAAAACCACATGATTTCATTCACTAAACAAAAATTAACAAAACGAATTGCCTAATTTTGTAAGCCAAATAGCTGAGCTGGAGATATTCTGCACACTAAAGTGTCAATTGATAGGAATTAAAAGTTCATTTAAAGTGAATTTAAAATTAGCTGAAACGGAAAAATTGTCCAAGACATATTTTCTGATTTCTTAAATTTGTCTTAAATTTGAAATTCACTTTTAACTTCTCTGTAATGACTCTGTAAGGTTTATTTTGTCCACGAAACAGTGAACTGAATAACACAATTCAAGCTAAAATAGTAACTTTGTAATTTCAGTTCAGGTGGAAATATCTCTTTAATCAGCTATTTTGGCCTAGATTTTTCAGTTCTTTACAATTCACTGTTTAGAGAATAAACCACACAGAGAAGGGTATTGCCAAAGGAAAACTTGATGACCCTCTACTCTGACAGGGAGATGGAGGCATATCATGACATATCCCCTCCTTTCTATGTTATGACCCGTCCTGTGTACCCATTAATAGCGTGCTGCTGATATTCTGCCAGATCTCAAATAAAGCATAGCTCGAAACAAAAACATTCTGCATAGGCAGCTATTCAATGCTATCCCGCCACACTACCTAACTTCTATCTAA